TAAATTATGGTACTTCACCATTCTGTTAATAAATTTTTGCAGACTAAACAATTGGCAAAATTATTGGACGAAGATCCAGCTGTTCAACAACGTCGTTCGTCTCTTGCAAAGAGGCTAGAATTATACAGAAGCGCACTATCAGAAATAGAAGCAGTTGTCTGGGCTAAGTAAAGGTGGTAGGTAGCCATTTGTTGATAGGATTACTCTCATTCTTTAATTCATGAATATCACTAATCCATAGTAGAGGAGGATCAAGCAGACTGCTTATTTTCATCCGCTGCTTAATTAGGTTATCTCATTCAATCCACTGTTCTTCTTGTTAGCACCGGTTACATGTCAGTTGCTTTTCTTCCGGCTTTAAGCAGCACTGGTAATGATAGGAAATTTTCAGCGACATGGAATTATGACCTATTGATCGTTGACTGTCATCATTGTTGCCATTTTTGTTAGTGTTATCACAAAACTATTAGCATTGTTTGATGGATTCATCTATTCTACACATATATGTATTAGCCTTTTCATGTGATTGAAAATCTTGAGTTTATAATACTACTACTAATTATTTGTAATTATTTTTTTTTTTTGGTGAAAAAATAATGTAATTTGTTGTTGAAAATTATTCAGTATTTGTGTAAGCTTTTATGTTTAGTAATTGGTAAATTTAGTTATAATACTTCTTCAAGAAGACTGACTGCATAATTTTTGATTTCTCACTATCTTGTACCATGTGTATTTAGTGTGTGTTTGGTTCGTCTTCTATTTTTGTTGTTAAAAAGTAAAAATTTAATTAAGTATTAAAAAAAAATATTTTTAAATAAAAGTAGATGTTTTTTTATTTTTAACAAAAACGAAATTAGAAGTTAAAATTAGATACTTTTAATAAATAACTTTATGATGTATAGGTAAATAATATTTTGTATGAGTATATTATTAATCTTATATCTTATGACTTAATAAATTTAATGTCCTTAAAGTAAAAACTTGTTATTAATTCACAATTAACAATTTTATATTTA